ACATCCACTGATATTCCTATGTGATTTCTCTCAGCGGACTCTGTAACCTGATGTAGGAATGAGGAAACTGTTTTAGTTCATCCAGAGTTGGTTTTGTTGTTCAAGTTCATCGGCTGAATAGTTTAAAAAATGAGTTTGAGATGTGAGCAAGAGAGTGGCTGAACTGAAAGAATGTAGATGGCGTTAGATTAGAGAGCCTATGATTGAAAGCCAGCAAAAGAATGTCAGGAGAATGGTCATCTTGACAGTGAAGACCAGGTATAGCAGAAGGAAGAGAGGGAAAGAATTGCTTAGCTTGATAATTGATGCCAGAGGTGGGGTGACGAGAAACTCTTTTCTTCAAAATTGATAGTTCTGGTAACAACACTAAGGTAGAACCATGAGAATGCCTTGGAGTTAGGGTCATCTGAGACTCTCATTTAACAAAGGGTTGATAACATGGGCTCTGGAGTCACCCTAGGTCCAAATCCCAGTGCCTCACTTATCAGATATGGGATGTTGGACAAGTAATTAACTGCAGCAGGCATTAGATACTTACCATTAAACTGAGGATAATAATAGTCCCTTCCTTTGGTTTCTGTGGTAAGATTGAATTAGATCATCCATGTAAAAGAAATTTATCAACCCCTGGTACAGCTCAAGTGCTCAATACATTTCATTGGTAGTTTTAATTTTATTATTAGTGTTGGTTCCTCCTTTACTGAAATCATAAGACAGACTTTCTCCAGTAACACCATAACATATTATGCCTTATACTTATGTAACTCTTCAACTTTTGTAAGGGCTTTCCAGTATCATTTCATCATCTCTTTCCTCATGGCAATTGTTAAGGTAAATGACAATGTTCTCAGGCAGACAGGAAGTCCCTGCACTTGTTTTGTCTCTCTCCACCAGACTCAGCACCTTTGGAAACCAAAAATTCTTTCAGAGGATGAACAGGAATATGATCTTCCCAACACTAAGTCACAGAATCACTCAGCCCTCAAGATGAATGAGGTCTTGGGAACCAGCAGTTAACATAATGGCTATGTCGCTGGACTCCCATGTAGTCAACCGCGGTTCGCGTCCCAGACCCGGTGACTTAAAACTCACGCCGGGCGCGTGTGCGTGCGTACACATCCCGAGAGGAGAATGGAGGAGAAGGGATTGCGGCGTGACTATCCCCCCTGGGGGGTGATTTCTCGCTTTCTGTCTCTATGTCTCTCTCTGTCTGTCTGGTGAGCGCACGCACCCTACAGTGAAAATCTATCAAAAAAAAAAAAAGTTGATTTCTAGCATATTGGTAAAACTTTTAGAATAACAACCACAAAATATAATAACTTATTTTCCGATCTCATCTTAGAATTTTCCACACAAACAAGTGCACAGTTCTCAATTTACTGTCTTGTTTGGATGGATTAAATACTCTTCCAGGCTGCATTGCATTTAGCAAAATGAACAAATAGATATCTTAAAATAAAGCTTATTTTTGAGCAATATGTGGATTTTATTTAATTTTATTATCGACATTTTAAAAAATCATTTTTTGAGAGAAGTCTCCCCAATATGGTCTTACCACACTGTGATTCTCCCCTGGTCTTCCATGCTACAGGCCCAGTGTGTTTAGGTGGACCTGGAAACCCAACCCAGAGCTTTTATATATGGCTCTAGGATTACGCAGCAGTACCCTACCATCTGTGCTTCTGCAGCTAGGCCAGTTGTTTTCATTTTTGTCATAATTTCAAACCATGACTTTAATCATGAGAGAAATCATATTTAACTTTGAGACAAGGATCATGAGTAATGGAATCTGGATCTGAAAATTCTGCTGTTGAGGCCAGAGGAACTTCATAATGTTTCTAGTCTCTTCATTTGTCAGTGTCTTAGTATAAGGTAGGTGCTGTTTATTCAACTCAGCATCATCCTAGCTTCTTCAGCCCATTCTTATTTGGCTATTTGACCTTTTATGTAACTTTGGTACCTTTAGCTATTTGGAAACTAAGGCCCAGAAGGGACAGCTTTAGTGACACATCATAACCACTTTATTTATACATTTGTCATTTTCTTATAAAGCTTTGTAAGAGTGGCTGAATGTTAATGATTATAACATTCTTTTATTTGGGTAGCATTAGTGGAAAAGCAATGTCTTCTAATTTTTAAACTTAAAATAAGTATTTACTTATCTGAGACCAGCAGCTGGCATAATGGCTGTGTTGTTGGACTTCCATATAGTCAACCGTGGTTCAAGTCCTGAACTCGGTGGCTTAAACTCACGCCAGGCTCATGTGCATGTGTGCTCAAGATCCCGAGAGGAGAATGGAGGAGAAGGGATTGTGGTGTGGCCATCCCACCTGGGGGATGATTTTTCACTTTTTGTCTCTCTGTCTGTCTCTGTCTTTCTAGTGAGCGCACACACCCTATAGCAAAAACCTCTTAAAAAAAAGATATTTACTTATTCTCAAATTTAGATATATGTTAATGATGATGATTTAGTTTAATTTCCAAATAGATTAATGACCACGCTTTCTATAGGGAAGCTAGATATTAAGGTTTTTTTTCTTGATTAGGAAAATACTTCAATTAAATTTAAGTTTATTTAAAAGTCTGTACTACAGTGATTCATGATGGTTTGTGATAAGTGCAGTGCTTCAAATTATTATGTTATTTTAGCTGGAATAACCTATCTATGAACACTTTACTGGGCATATTTTAAATGGACTTTCAAATACAGTGTTACTTATGCTGATGCCTCTGTCTTCAATGCTCATCTTGTTGTTACTGATTTTTATTTTATTATAGTAGATGTTACGTGTTGCCAGCAAGTGAAATGTTTCATATATGATTGCTACTAATAGTTCTCTGATTATCTGACAAATTTTAAAATATTAACACTTTTTTCAGTTAAAACACTAGGTTCTTACTAAAACAATACACATTATTTTTCTCAACAGTGCCATCTGTTTTAGTGATAGTCAATCAAAAATACACATAGTATCCCTTTTGGGATAATAAAGTAGTCTAAGAAGTAATTATTTCTATATACATGTATTCCCAATTAATATGATTACAAACTACCCAGAAAAGGGCTCATATTTTCTAGACTGATTGCTAATGAAATTGAATATGGATGATCTTTTAAAAATTTATTTTTGCATTTATATTTAATCACTGTACATCTTTACAGTGTATGACATGATTTTTCCCAGCATGGATATGGTGCGTATTAGTCAAGTCAAACACATTACCATGTACATTATCATCAACAGATAACTTTTCATTTTTGTGTCTATTAAATGTTTTGTTTTCTTCCCTGATCCCTTCCCTCTCCTATGCTGTCTCTAGTGTCTACAGTTGGCCTCTCTACTATTATACCTTCCAGTCTTTCAGTTTCTGCTATAGAGTGCAGACATTTGGTATTTATTAAACAGGGAAATACAATGCCTGTCTTTATAGTCTGGCTTACTTTGCTTAGCTTTAAATCTTCCACTTTATATCAAATGTGATTTTAATGATATTAGAGATTGTTTGATATAGTACACATTCACTTTTGACAAGAACTTGTTCCTAATGTTTCGCATGCTTTATTTCTAGAATTTAACATGTGAATTGGAGGGCAGGGAGAAACAACAACTACAGATGTTGGATCGACTTAAGGAGATTCAGAATCATTTTGAGACATGTGAAATGGAGCGTAAGCGTGCTGACCTCCAGATCTCAGAGCTGACTCACCATGCAGAGGATGCAACCAAGCAGGCTGAACAGTACCTCAGTGAGTTCCAGCACTCAGAGGCCTTGAGAGAGGAGGCAGAAAAGAGGAGAGAAGACCTGAAGCTAAAAGCTCAAGAATCCATTAGGCAGTGGAAACTTAAACATAAGAAATTAGAGCGAGCATTGGAGAAACAATCTGAAGCTCTTGAACAACTGACAGAGAAGAATAATCAGGTATAAAGGCCAAATTTCTGAGGACTGGTTTTCTTTTTAACTAATCATTCATTTATTCATCCTTTGAATGAACAGTTCATTCATTCATTTATTCATCCTTTGAATGAACAGACACTTGGGTAGCCATGTTGTGCATACAGTCTATCTGTATGCCTTTGAAGGAAGAGTCTTTATGTTTTGGCTATTTCAAGGTAAAACGTTATTTAGGTTTTTTTTTTTTTTTTTAATCTTTTTAATAGTTAAAAATTATGTAGCTTTTCAGCTTTGGTTTAGAACATGGGTTTACCCCTCCCCCTAGTTTGGCTTTAAGTTTCCTAAATTGAATTATTCTTTAAAATTCTAATTATCAAATGGCAGAAATTACTGAATCTTTCTTAGCATCATATGACTTTTTTCTCAGTGCCCATATTTCCAAATCTCATTTATTTGTATATTTCAATTTAAATATTGGTTAGAAAGAAACATTTAAAAAATGCAATAGTTACTACTGGACCATTTTCTAGCAGCAACTATAATGGGGTTAGTTAAATTATTGACTTTGATAGTCTCACTGACTGAGCAGTGTTACTGGCTCACAAGCCTTTTTAAGACTGCTTTTATGCTCTTTTGATGGGAACCACAAGCATTTCACGTATCTATGTATGCATTTCACATCCTCTTTTCTCTTGTATAATCAGTTACTTTAAATGGATTTTATGTTCTTATGCTGACTCTCAACTATATCTTTGGGTTGAATTAAACCCAGATGTTTATGAGATAATAAGCAGGAAAGTCATGATTGATTTTTATCCATGTTCAATCGTGGCTCATCATTTGTGCCTTGTCATTTGTCACTTGTCAAGAACTCTGAACATTCCAGAAGAATAACCATTTGGATATGACTTTCTTTCCAACGAAAACTAAATGTAGGACAATTATATTTATAAAATCAATTGTCAGCACTTAACAGTGACAGATGCTTATTTCAGATGAACTGTCATGGAAAAGATGCTTTACCTTTTACATATGAATTACTTGGACATATAAGACATGAAGGAAGGGATCACTTTGCACTCTCTGTGTAGTGCTTTTCATTTTAACCCATCTGATGCATCCTGGGTGACTGGTTGCCCTCAGGCAAAGCAGTTCTAAAGTTTTCAGACTTCCATCTGAACTGATTTGATCCCAGGAACTTGCTCTACCTTGATTATTCTGTTGGCAGCCTGGTTTGACAACTGGTTCAATGAGACTGAATATAAGGGAGGTAACTAGAGAGAAGACTGGTTGAGGAGACTGACTGAGAATCATCTGGGGATTTCATTAAAGGTAATTTATAAGGGCCCATGTCCTCAGAGAGTATCCCAATCTTTGCTGCTGAGAGTTTTCTAGATTGAGTTTTTAAGAATATTAAAAATTGTTAAATAATATTTTCTCAGAATACTCCTGAAATAATTATTTTGATCACTTAGCATTGCTAATGATAGGCAAAGAAGTAGTTTTAAAGTGATTGCCACAGTTAGGATAGTATCACAATTATCGCAGCAGGCATTGTAATTTCTCCTTTAAAAGCCTTAAAAATTAATGCAGCATGTTGTAGTTAGCAATAGTTAATCAAGGAAGAAAAGATAAGAAATGTTTCACTGCAGATTCAAGTGGCCAGTAAATCTGTGATGTGGAAATACCTGGTAAATAATTTTGGAAGAAAGTATTTTTATTTTACATGTATTTTGTATGTAATATTTTACTTAATATTACATCTAAGGAATATTTAGTGTATTTAATTTTTTTATAAGATGGAACAAGAATTTCCCTCTTTCTTTAAATCATATGTCTATTTTGAGTTATTTTTGTGTAATCATGTGACTTTTTGGTTTTATTTATTTATAATATATTATTTACTTACAATCATTGTACATCTCTATAGCACACAGCATGGTTTTTTTTTTTTTTTTGGAGAGGTTTTTGCTATAGGGCTCATGCGGTCGCCAGAAAGACAGAGAGAGACAGAGAGACAGAAAGCGAGAAATCACCCCCCCCAAGGGGGGATGGCCATGCTGCAATCCCTTCTCCTCTTGGGATCTTGGGCACGCACGCACATGCACCCGGTGTAAGTTTAAGCCACCCCAGGTCTGGGACTCAAACCGCGGTTGACTATGTGAAAGTCCAGCGACATAGCCATTACATGAAATGCTGGTCCCACACACAGCATGTTTTTCAAGGTATGCATGTAGTATGTGATAGTCAAATCATATATATTATCATATATCTAATGTTTTTTTTTTTTTAAGAGAGATTTTTGCTATAGGGTGTGTGCACTCACCAGAGAAACAGAAAACAAGGTATCACTCCCTCTGGGGGAATGGCCATGCCTTAATACCTACTCCTTCATTCTCCTCTTGAGATTTTGGGCATGCACACACACACACCTGCTGTGAGTTTAAACCTGCTGTGTCCAGGACTCGAATCGCAGTCAACTAAGTGGGAGTCCAGTGGTGTAACCATTACGCCGTCTGCTCGTCCCCATATACATAATTTTCAACAGAGATCTTTACAATCTCTGTCTGTTAAGAGTTTCTTCCCTGTGCCCCTTCCACCCACCCTCTACTATTCACTCCTTTCCCATACAGTGTCTGGTATCTACATTTGTCCTTCTTATCATTATATCTTTGCATTGTTCAATTTCTACCTTGGAATGTAGACATTTGGTATATATTGAGTGGGGATATACAGTGTTTACTTTTCATAGTCTGGTGTATTTTTTTTCGCATTAAATGTTCTATATTTATTTACTTTGAAGCAGGTGACAAGGTCTCAATATTCCTTATGGCAGGGCAGCATTCCATAGTGCATACGTGTCACCATTTTTCAATCATTGGGCATTTGGTTTGATCCTATGTCTTACTAATTGTGAATAATGCTGCAATAAACAGCTCTGAGGAAGATATTTGAATGGCCAAAATGCATATGAAAAATATTCATCATCTTTTATTATAAGGGAAATGCAAATCAAAATCATAGTGAGATACCAATTAACTCCAGTCAGAATGGCTATGATCAAAAAACTAAGGCACAAGTGGTGTGCTATAAGGGAACCTTCTTACATTGTTGGTGGGAATGTAAATTAGTACAGCCACTATAGAAAACAATAGAGAGGTTCCTCAAAAACCTAAAAATAAAACTACTATCTGATGTACTAATCCCACTCCTTGGTATTTACATCTATCTATGTATCTATGTATATATGTATGTATGTATATATGTATGTATGTATGTATGTATGTATGTATGTATCTATCAATCATCTATCTATTTATTTATTGAGAGAGAGAGAGAAAAAAAAATGATAACCTCCAACAGGTTCTTGATGCTTTGCTTCTCCCTGTGCTTCAGCCAGCCTGGATCATGAACATGCAGGTGGCTGGCATACTAAGGGAGGTATCTAGACTCGAACTGATATCTCATATAGGTCTGCCTTGCAGAACATTATGTTTTATTGCTGTGCCTCCATCCAGCCCCAGAATATTTTATTCTTAATAAATTATCCACTCTCCTTAAGTAATTACCAATATAGTTTATCCTCTTTTTGTTTCTTGGGAGTTATTATTTTCAAAAAGTGACTCCAGGATATATTTGAGAGCGTATATTGAAATAAAGATGGTTCTGGTTTACATATTTGTCTTATGAGGGTCTAAAGAATGAATTAATTATATAAAAGTAGTCTTATTAAGCTATCTTATATGCTCACATGATGTGATCTTTTAATTTGCAAAATGGGTTTTTATTAAAAATTTATTTATTCATTTATTTATTTTAATTTGACCAGAGAGAGACATAGAGAAAGAGAAAGAGTGAGAAAGCAAGCCACCAGGTCCAGAACTTGAATAGTGGTCAGCCATGTGGGGGTGTCCAGCACCTCAACCACCACGCCACCTGCTGATCCCTGCAAAATGGTTTTGTGCCTATTTCCATTACTTCTTTTTTTTCCTAGCATAATTTCTGTTTTAAGATTTTTTTACTTAAAAAATATATTAAATAGCCAAAGACTTTCATTCTCTTAAAAATTGCTCTAGATTTATTCTTCCCTTTCTCCCACTTTATATATAATTTCTGAAATCTTAGTAAGATTATCAAATATATGTCATATTGCAAAAGCTCTTATTATTGAAGGATAGGTAATATCAAACACATGGTATATCATTGCAGAAAAAAAGAGATTGTATACTTTCTTTAAGAGACAATAAATAATATGGATTTTTATATCAGGAAATCATCATGTCCTTTAGAGATATGTAGATGAAGACATTGGGAGACGTAAAATGCTATATTATAGATACAAATATCTAATGGTAAATCGTGACACCTTTATTTTTGTCTCTTTTTTTTTTTTTAACCTACATTTTTTTTTTAAATTTTTATTATCATCATAATCTTCTTTATATTACATTGGATTACATATAACTTTACAGTGTATTACATTGTTTTTTCAAAAGGGAATGCCATGCATGTCAGTCAGTACAGAGACATTAATCTCCCCACTTCAACATTCCATATCTTTTCTGTTTTCCCCAATCATTATTTTTATTATTCTAATTATTTTTATAAAACAGTCAATTGCTATTTCTCGTTTTGCTTGTAAAAATACTTTGCCCATCATGAAATACTTCTCAGACCAATCCAGTTGAGAATACTATACATGTCATCATCAACAGTTAATAAGCCCTATCTGTTTCTCACTAACGTCCTGTCTCTCTATTGTTCACTTGCTGTCTTTCTCTATCCTCTTCTCTGTCTCTTTTTTTTTTTAAAGAGAATTATTTATTTAATTTTATTTATTCATTCATTTTTTACTTTGAACAGAGACAGACAGACACACAGAGAGAAGGAAAGTGAGAAAACAAGTCACCAGGTCTGAGACTCAAACTGTGGTTGGCCATGTGGGAGTGTCCAGTGCCTTAACCACTATGACACTTCTGGCCCCTCTCTCTTTTTTTTTTTAAAAAAAGGACTGTTTGAAATCATTA